ACAACCGAGCCCTCACTCGAGAACGTCTCGTCCGACTCGGCAGCCGAGGTGAATGAGGGCGAAGACACGGCAAACGTAGCGGAGGACGACATCGAGAGACTCGTCCGGAATATCGAGGCAGGCGCGGAGCGCCGATGATAGCGCCTATTGTGGCGCAACCCGTCACGCAAGTAGCCAATTGCGAAGAGCTTCTGCGGCAGACGGAAGCAATCATAAAAACTCTTGAGTGATAATGACAATATTAAGTGCATTGTGGTCAATTACCACATTTTTATGTTGCTTTGTGGGGGCTTATATCTTAGTCTCAGTTTATGATATGATAATATATATTTTAGAAAAGTCGCTTGAAAAATAGCGCGATTGTATGTAAAGTCAGTATTATAATGTATTCAAGATTTTATATTTTTTATGTACTACGCGAGATATTGCGAATATTTTAATTATGTTTTTCTTCAAATGTATTTTTTTATCTAGGCTCAAAAGAGACTTTGTATTACCACGTTTTATTATATTTTTTGTAAGCGCACTGAATGACAAGCATGAGTATGAGTGAGCGCGATATTTTATTATATTCTTTCGATAATAGTAGAATTATGTGTTACACCTGCGAAAAGCGAATAAAAATGCGTTATGATAAAAGTTAATCACAATTTATAAAAGATACTTACCTGCGACGATAATTACCACAATTCCGCAGCGAACCACTTACAGGGACCTGAAACATAAAGAAAAGGCGTTAAAAATCATTTTGAGTCACAATTTCACGAGTTAGATACTCACCTTTTAAGTTTTGCCGAAATAGAGCCGAAGGGTTACCTGAAAATAAGAAATTAACATTAGTTAGTCACAAATAGTGCAATATAAGATGATTTAAGTTTGATTCAATTCGTTTTACCACTTTTATTATATTGAGAGATGCATTGTAGAAGCATTAGAGAAGTTTCTACCACATTTCACGCGAGGAGAGGCAATCACTATTAATTTCAGTGGTTTCTACCACAATTTGTCACAATATAATTCATTGACATTAATTTTAGTTTATTTTATACGAATGTACCACATTTCGCCACAATTCCGCGTGTTAATAGACATTGTAAAGATTTCTCTCACAATCCGCCACAATTCATTACCCAGAAGGTCGAGACGGCGCTCCGGGGATAAGACGCGGTCTCTCGGAGGATATTCACCACAATGCGATGGTAACTTCGAGTCGGTATGGTAAAGCCACTCGGGAGGTAACTACGGGACATACGATC